TGCAACGATCAAATCCAGGGGTTTAATGGCAGTATTTCAAAACCCATCGGAGAAATCACTTTGCCTGTCCGATTTGGTACCTCGGAGAATGTCACCAAACTCGTTATGGAGACTTTTAAAGTTATGGATATTAATAACGAATACAACGCCATTATCGGCAGGACGGCGTTGTACAAACTTCGGGCCGCAGTCTCTATCTTCCACTACGCGTTAAAGTTTCCGACAACCCGAGGAGAAGGAACCCACCTCGGAGATCAAAGAGAAGCTCGGCAACTTGTAACGTTCCTCCCATCTCATGGAGTTCATTCAGCCTCAACAAGTGACAATGAAACCTCCCCACAACATCACCATCCGAATGATGCGATGACCGAAGAACCGAGCAACCACGTCGGTGAGCCTTCCACCTCGGATCCTTTAACCGAGGACCGAGGACGCCGACCTGGAAAAGAGCCCCTCCTGGAAGAAGATGAGCTGGATCCCAGAGCCTTGTTTAAAGAAAAAAGTCGACCTGATCGAGCCGAACCTGGGGAAGACGTGGAGTTAGTCTATATTGACGAACCAATCTTCCACAAGTCATTACGTATCGGAAGTCATCTTCAGGAACCACTTCGGTCAGAACTTATTGCGTTTCTCAAGCAGAATTCTGATGTCTTTGCCTGGAAGCACGAGGATATGAAGGGTATCGACCCCGGTGTCGCTAGCCACAAACTAAACCTCGATCGAACAGTCCGGCCGGTTGTACAAAAGAGGAGGAAACTGGGGCCGGATCGTCAGAAGGCATTGGAAGAAGAAGTCAAAAAACTAGTTGACAATAAATTCATCAAGGAAGCCAAATACCCGACGTGGGTCTCAAATCCAGTGCTCGTTAAAAAGAGTAACGGGTTGTGGAGATTGTGTATTGATTTTTCCGACCTCAACAAGGCGTGCCCAAAAGACAGTTATCCGCTTCCCCACATAGATTATATGGTTGATGCCACTTCGGGACATGAATTGATGAGTTTCATGGACGCATACTCCGGCTATAACCAGATTCCTATGGATCCCGAGGACTCTGAACACACTTCATTCTATTCGGCCCGAGGTCTGTATTGTTACACTATGATGCCGTTCGGATTAAAAAATGCCGGAGCCACATATCAACGTCTTGTCAACAAGATGTTCGCAACATTGATCGGACGCACTATGGAAGTTTACGTTGATGATATGCTCGTCAAGTCGGTGCACGCCTCTGATCATATAGCGCACCTTCGAGACATGTTCGCCATCCTCCGATGTTATTCCATGGTGCTGAATCCGAAAAAATGTACTTTTGGAGTTGAATCCGGAAAGTTTCTAGGTTATATGGTTAGCCAGCGCGGGATAGAAGCCAATCCGGCCAAAATAAAGGCCATTCAAGATCTAACTCCCCCAACCTCGGTCAAGGGTGTCCAGGCCCTAACTGGCCGACTTGCTGCACTCAACCGGTTCATTTCCAAGTCTACAGATCGTTGTAAGCCGTTTTTTGAAGCAATCAAGAAAGGGAAACGTTTTGAATGGACTGAAGAATGTCAAAGAGCTCTTGACAATCTCAAAGAGACCCTGATCTCTCCCCCGACTTTGCAAAAGCCGAAACCCGAGGAGATGTTGTTCTTATACCTCGGAGTTAGTGAATCTGCCATTAGCGCTGTCTTGATACGCGAAGAAGGATTGCTGCAATCACCTATCTATTATGTCAGCAAGGCTTTGCACGATGCCGAACTACGTTATCCTCCGATGGAAAAGTTAGCGTTTGCACTTGTGATAGCAGCCCGGAAATTACGACCATACTTCCAGGAACATTCTATAACTGTTCGCACTTCATATCCACTTCGGCAAATCTTGCACCGACCTGACACCTCGGGGCGCATGGTTAAATGGGCCATTGAGCTCGGACAATTCGATATCCACTATCAACCGAGGACCGCAATCAAGGCCCAAGCCTTATCCGACTTTATCGCTGAGTTCACCCCGGCCATTGTGATCCACTATAATAATCAACCATGGGTCCTCTATATTGATGGCTCTTCAACAGCCAACCGAGCAGGTGCAGGGATAGTCTTAGCTGATCCAGAGAATCGGTTATTCTGTCACTCGGTGAAATTCCTCTTTCCAGCAACAAACAATGAGGCCGAGTACGAAGCACTGCTATCCGGATTGAATTTGGCAGAGTCCATGAACGTGACCCACCTCAAAGTCTTCTCAGACTCACAACTCCTTGTCAAACAAGTCAATGGTTCGTATGAAGTCAAAGAACCTCGGCTGACACCTTATCTCTCTTTGGCTAAACGGAAATTATCAAAATTCTCCGCCGACCTCGAGCATATCCCCCGGACTCTCAATGTTCAAGCAGATGCCTTATCTCGACTTGCGTCCAGTACCGGGATGGAGAGCGCGGAGTACATCCAAATCGGCCAACAAGAACAACCATCAACTGCCCTTTCCGAGGTCACGGCCATCAATCCAGTAGCATCGCAAAAATCACCAACTTGGATGGATCCTATCATCCACTGCCTGGAAACTGGGGCCTTACCTCCGAACCCAAAAGAAGCTCGAGCACTTCGGATTCGAGCAGCTCGGTACACATTAGACAACGGAACTCTGTTCAAAAGGGGATACTCCGTTCCACTTTTGAAATGCGTAAGTGAAACTGATTCACGGTACATTCTCGAAGAAGTCCACGAGGGGATTTGCGGAAGTCACCCCGGTGCACAGGCATTGTCTTATAAAATCCTGCGGCAAGGTTACTACTGGCCGACTCTGAAGACCGACGCCGCCATATGGGTGCGCAAATGCCCGAAATGCCAAATGTTTGCCCCGAACATCCATCAATCTCCCGAAGAACTAAAATCAATTTACAGTCCGTGGCCGTTTGCCAAATGGGGGATTGATCTTATTGGCCCTCTACCAACCGGAAAGGGAGGTGTCCGGTTTGCTATCGTGGCAGTTGACTATTTCACTAAATGGGCCGAGGCTGAACCGTTAGCCACGATAACCGAACAGAAGGTCGTAGATTTTGTGTGGAAGTCAATTATCTGTCGCTTCGGGGTGCCGAATTCCATCATAACCGACAACGGCAAAACAATTTGAAGGCAAACGACTTGAATCCCTGTGTGAAGAATACAACATCAAACACTTCTTCTCATCTCCCTACCATCCGCAGTCCAACGGTCAAGTTGAAGCCGTAAACAAACTCATAAAGAATGGTCTCAAAGTCCGACTTGACGCTGCCAAAGGAGCTTGGCCCGAGGAGTTGCCACATGTCCTGTGGGCTTACCGGACTACCACACGGACATCCACCGGCGAGACCCCATTTTCTCTGACTTACGGTTCCGAAGCCGTAGTCCCGGTGGAGCTCGGAGAACCGACTTACCGAATTCAACATTTCACCGAAGAAGCCAACTCGGAAAACATGAAAGCAAATCTGGACCTGCTTGAAGAACACCGTATTCGGTCCGAACTCAAGAATGTTGCATTCAAGCAAAGAAATGAAAGATACATCAATTCTAAACTCAAACCCTGTGCGTTCCGAGTTGGAGATTTGGTCCTCAAGCGTATCATGGGGCCTGACCCCGGACCACTCAAACCGCGGTGGGAAGGACCCTTTCAAATCATCAAAATCCTACCTCATGGGGCCTACCGAATTGCTCATCCCGATGGGACACCACATCAATATCCTTGGAACACAGTGTTCTTGAAAAAATTCTATCAATGAAGGATCCGAAGTCGCATAATCGACCTCCCTTTTGTACGGACCTTCTCTTTTGCCTCGGTGAATGCCTGAAATCACCTCTTTTGATGTACTGAATAGCCTATCAGTTTACATATTTTGAAAAGTCGAGCACCAAGCTCGATGCCGATGTAAACCTTTTGAAACATGGTTAAATATATCATGCCGATGTAAGTATTGCGACACTCGGTCTAGCTGATACCCCGTAATACATCCAAACCCCACGTATGGTTTGGTTGGGGTTGAAGCTCGTCAAACGTCACTTCAGCTAACATGATTTGACGGGTCCCGATAATTACCGAACACTCATTCAAACAACTCGGTTGGGGCCATTCTATAATCGGACTCTGACGAAGTCCGGTGACTTTCATTTTGTTTCCCGTACAGCCCTAAAAATGTGTTGAGTTCTGCGAAGTTATTTGAAAACTCGCATAATCGACTCACACTTGTGGCTGAGATTCTTATAAACGATCAAAGTGGAATTCGGAAAGTTAGTTTTACAAAATCTTACAACTCGGATCATGATTTAAGTAATTCCGAGTTGAAGCAATTTATTTTCTAATGAAAACCGAATTCAGAACACTTTGGTCAAAAAAATTGCTGAAATTTGTACAGCAAAACATACAATCGAAATCAAGCATACGCAAACACTTCATATATAAATATATTTCGAAAAGTGTGGGGAATCCCTTACATATTTCCTACTAAGGGAGTCGGCTATCCGACATCCCCGGTTACACACCATAAACTTTTAAATATTTCCTACTAAGGATGCCGACATGCCGGCACCCCGATTACCTTATGCAAATCAATAAGCAAAAGAAAA